ACACTTCATTCTCAAATGGTTAGCTTCCAATCGATATCGAATCTTAGATGAGTGATCACAAATTTATATTGTTTAACTTCCACGATCTATCAAATAGCTAGGTTATTGTTTTTTGAACAAGTTTCTCTCGAAATGGGACTAGCCAAATCTATTGCACTGTTCTCGAGTGCAGCTGTTACATCTTTTATCGCTGATTTTGTTCCACAATGGTACAAACTTCTAGTATCTAAGATAGAAATAGAATTATCAGCAATATAGTGTAGGAAATATTTTTTATAGTTGATGTAATATTTTTTAGAGACGAACGATATATTTTTTTTGAAATGCGATGCACTAAGTATTCGCATTTTAGAGTTTAAATTAAAGAGAAAAACGGTTTTATTTCTTGACGTTTTACTGCGATTCTTCACTGCCTTTACAACTTCATTCCTACTTTAAATTGGTATGAAACTCAAAGAAGATCCTGACCTCGCCCTTCTAAACCCAATTTGTCAATCTCCAAAGCGTAAACAAAGATCAATTGTGTTTTCCGACGACTGTGACTACAGTAGAATCCCTATTTCTCGAATCCTTGTTTTTTCGAACCTTCCGATAACTCTAACCAAACCAGGCGTTTCCCTCTCCTCGGTCAAACGCTATGATTTTACCTCCGATTTCTCGGACTATTCGATTTTTCGAACCCTTAGACGTTCGAAAAATCGGGATTCCAATGTAATAAGATTCTCTAAAATTCCTCTAATTCGGTTCTGTGAAAAAAAAAAAACAAAAATAAAATCAGAATTAATGTCAGTATTTAAGTCTGCCGTCTGCTGCTGTCGTAGAACTGTAGATCTTTTATCGGGGTCAAATTGGGTTAAAATTTGTCGGGCGATGAGCTTGCCGCACACTAGCCGATTGTTTGTCGCGACTAACCGCGTTGAGACTTTGAGAAGAGTCATTCAAAATCAAGATGGCGCCTATTCCACTGACGTGACTCTCATGACATTTCCTAATTGCAGTAATTGGTTGAGCCGCGCGCGAGCCCCGACAACTTGTCTTGGTCCACCGCACACAAGCCGACAAGGCCCGATAAGACATTTTGAGATCCAGCACTGTCAGATATCGCCCCACAAGCCCCGATCTTGTCGCAGACTTATCTGAATTCACCGCACACTAGCCGACAAGAGAAGAATATTCGTCAAAGTAAATTGGGAAAAAATATGACGCATTAAAGGTCAGACCAACTTAACAGCGCTATTCGTCTTTAAGACGCTCCAAAACTAACGCATTATACGTCTTAGACGTTCAATCCATCTAGGTGAACACGAGATGCATATAAAGCAAGCAAATGAATCTGAGAACCCGCTAGACTAAAATTTCTAATCCAACGATTAACGGTCTCCCTCGAAATAGATCTTTTTGTTAACTCACCACTCGTGATGCATTATTCGACTGGTAGTACATTATTCGTCTTCCTAAGTAAATACAGCCAATCGCATTTTGATGTGACATTTTGGTTTCATGAGATTGCCTGTATGTTGTTCAAAAAAAGTTTAAAATGTTAGATTTGCGCGCGAGACCGAACGTAATATCATTGAAGTATTTTTTTTTTGGAAGATTCTTCGAATGTTTTTCTTTTGAAAGGTTTTCATCTGCAAGTTATGTGATACAATATAATCATGTGACAACAAATTTTAAAACGCTTAACCTTCTCAGGAGATGTTTTGGCACAATACTTTCCGAGAAAAATTGTTTACTCTGCTTGTCTGTTATAACCTTCGCCATTACTGTATAACCCTAGCATGTTCTGATAAAAATCTCCATGTTTTGTCTAGGGTTAACTTTAAGATAGCAAAATGATTTTAGAAGCGATGCAAAGATTTCTTCACAGAGTAATTTTAGCCATTTCCATGTGACAAAATTTCCCGTAAGAAAAGATCCCATTGTTTTCTACTTCAGTAGAAGTGCAGCCAAACGTCCTGAAAATAATATTCAAAATTTCTCTCTGTGTTCCATTTTGAGATCTTGAAAGAAAAAGTTTGATAAATTTGGATATGATATTTCAAAATGAGAACAGCGGTGTTTGTTTCGGTTTCTGAGTCTATATTAACTTCTAATGCAGTAGGTCCACAAAGCTAAAGTAAATATTTGGAGAACATTACACTAAAGCTTTTTTATACCATAACAAACTTTTCACCAATCATATTGTTGCAGAAGGTTCAAGTCACTGCTCGCAAAAGTGAAACAACATGTTTGAGAATAATCTATGGGACAGTTGACATGATCTTGTCACGTGCATCGCTGACGTTGCGGCTGATGTCACTTTAACATTTCACAAAGTGTACCGAGAGCTTGCCAAGCATTGTTGAGTTATACAAGAGCATTGTCGAGGAGCGAAACGAGACAAGATTCAAACAAGCAGAGCAATGGCATTTCACCAGCCACTGTTAGATTTATTAACAGCACGTCAGGTACAAAAGATTTATACTGATGTTGGAAGCGGATCACGCACAGATATCAGTGTGTGGCAAGCTAAATTAGAGTCCATCCCTGAAGGCGCTTACATAGTGGGGCAGGTTGCTGTCCCTGCCTACGTAAGCACAATTCCCGTATCGTCTGTGATTCTTGTGAAGCCCTTGGTCCAGAGCGACGGCTATGGCAGTCTCATCATGAAGCCGCAAGGTTACGAGCTGATCTGGGACGACAGGGGCACGGGTGGCGAACAGGATGGCTCATTCTGGCGTGTTCTACCACCTTATGGCTACATAGCGTTGGGAGATGTTGCTTGTGATGGCTATGATGCTCCTTCCTCGCAATTCACAGACAAGTACGCGTGCATTCGACAAGATTTGGTGTGTGACGGAGAGGTGGATCCCACACCACTCTGGACGGATGTGGAGTCAGGCGCATCCAAGAATGTATCAATCTGGAACGTCAGTGGCAACGGTGTGAGTGGATTCTTCAAAGCTCAGGAAGACTTCAGCAGGCCATCTTACCCGGTGTCGGTGCTGTGTGGAGGCCCGTTCTGGGCAAAGTTGAAATAAAATATTCTCGAGCGGATTTCATCACTAATTACAAGGATACGTACAGCGACGTAAGCTTAGAATTAGCTTAGAATTGAAAATTGTGAAAGTTACCCTCACACTGACTTCTATTACTTGATAATTGTTCATGAATTTTCTTTTGGGGTTTAAATGATAAGACAAAGGATATGCCAAGTTTTAAGAAAACAGTGTCAGTTACTTGATAGGGCTTGTTTTGGGTACACTTACAAGTTTCTGAGAAATGTCAATGATACACTAAGGCGGCTTATATTAAGGAATCTTGTATTCTGCTTTAAGCTGTCCTCAAATTCATTGGATTGACTTGTTCAATGTAATGTAATTTGGAATTTGTATTAAAGATTAAAGATTAAAAATAAATGTAAAGGTGAATTAATCAACATGACACGAGCGTGAGACAAAGAAAAATTCTGAGTCCCTATCCACTGAGCTACGAGAACTCATGGAGAGCAAGGTCAGTTAAAAGAAAACAAATATATGTAGTTTGTCCAATTGGATGAACATCATTCAGGTCATGTATATCTTATTTTTTGTAGACGTCCTGTTTTCTAAGAAAATGCTTGCCCACTTGTGAACTGTAGGCCTCTTACCCTCGCTATGAAGTCAATGGATGCGATCAAGAAAGAACTGCGGCAAGCTCTGTACTCGCTGAGCGCTTGTCAGACTCGGTGCTTCCCCAATGTCTTCCTCTACTACAAACGGAAAACGTGTTAAATCTTTTAGCTCGGCAGATCTTCGAGAATGAGAGGCCCAGTCTAAACTAAGGCAATTTTTTTTCTTTTCACCAAGAGCGTCGTGCTCACTATCGCTAATGTTGACAGTGTTTTCCTCTTCCACACTAAAACGCTTGAATACACTGATACTCCCTGAGAAGCCTAAAGCAGTCGGATGCGCATGCAACTGATAATGTGAAGTCACGGTCAACGTTTTCGATAGCCTTCTGTTTGCGCTGTCCACAACTGAAAATACGATAGGGCTTCGGGTTCAAATGCTTTGGTTTCAAATGCCTGTACCGCGGCAGACGTCTCTAAATGGATGCCTTTTTGATGAAATTGGCCCGCGTAGCAAGTGTTCCCCGATACAAAGAGTTTTACTTTATTCTGACCGCGCGTAAATTGGAGCTAAAGCAAAAATTCGACGAAGCAGGGCGGGGGGTGGTCCTTGATCGCATCCCCCACCACCCCTGCTTCGTCGAGTTTTTGCCTTCGCTCCAATTTACGGGCGGCCAGAATGCGGAAAAGCTCTTCGCTTGCTACGCAAGCTACGATGAAAGTGCTCAGTTTTGGACAGTTTGGACAGTATAAAGAGTATGTTTTCAAACGAAAATCCATTAGTGTCGACAGAGCCAAAGTCCCGTATATATCCTAAAGAATGATTAGAAATCTTTGGAATGCAGAGGTCCACACGACGCAAGAAACAAAATACCAGATATAATTATCAATTAAAGCTTGTTTTGTAATTATGTCATTATGGCATGTCGAAGTATGCTCAGACTTGTGATCTGACATTTGTATAAGGTGTTCAAGATAGCTTTAGCTATCGTTTTGTTTGTAATCCCTCCATCTCAAATTTTCCCTGTCCAAACGGGAAATGTTTGGCGATCAAACACGATCAAACATTTTCCCGTTTGGACACCTTGTTTGACCGTGTTGGATCGTGTTCGATAAAATTTGAACGACGTCGAACATTTGATCAAACATTGCAAAGCATTTCAGTGTCCATTCAAACATGTTTGTTATCGTTTGACCACAAAGAACAACATCAACATGTCTGGTCACCAAACAATGTTTGATCGTGTTCGGTTGCAAAGCATTTTCCGTTTGGACCGGGCTTTACTTTTGACCATCCTCGCTCCCAGTAAGAAACCGGAGGTAGGCGCCTGTACTAATGGGCCGCTTGCCTCCTGCAATCCATTGGATTGGAACCTTTGAAAAACAAACAAACAAACAAACAAACAGGCAAGGTACACTAGCTTTATTTCAGTTGAACATTGAAATGTTTTTGAAAGCTACACAACTTGTAGGCAGAGATTTATAGATACGTAAATCGTTAACGGCAAACTTAACATTATAAGGTCCTGCTGGTTTCCAAATTTATTATATGACTGATAAAAAAATAACCTCACTGCGGTTAGCTGAAAGCATAAAAAAACTCTTGTTTTATCTTTTCGTTAATCTTTTACTTAACTTTTATGCTTTTGTCTTCACTATTCTATTCGAAACAAAAAAAACAAAACAAAACAATCTCTGTAATACTAGCCGCAAAAACCCTCTCGGTGCAAAGATCACTGTTCAAAATTTCTTTATAGTCTTTATATGTTGACATTATGAACGCAAACACATTACATAACTCGGTTCGTAATTTGTTTTGAAGTATAACCCTATATACATGTCGTTTTTGTAACTTTTTATTGTTCAATCCCATCACAACCGTCCACAGTTGAATCTACATGTATTTGTTTGACTTATAGTGTCCTCTTTACAAACAACTTTTATTTCATTAGCAGATCAAAGAAAACCTATCAGTCGATTCATAGCAGAGAGAGATGTCTTGTACTGAAGGAATCATTGTTGCCTGACACTGGTGGAATAATCTCTTTTTAGAGATAAAAATCAAGCGCCCCCTTAATTTATAATTGCGGGAACCTTTTAACAGAATTTTTTTTCCCGACCTATACATTCTTGGCGACAACTGAAAAATGATCAAAATTTAAGATACCTGCCAAATGACAAGAGCGCTAGATTAAAACTGACAATAAATCTTAAACCTCTCCGTGGCAATAAATCTTAAACCTCTCCATGGTAAAATAATCAGAAGCAAATGACACGCGTACTATTTTCTCTGCACCTGCTATACTAAACCCAAGTAAACGGCAAAAGAGAAATTAAACGTTGATCATGTCAGAATAACTGCGTGGAGACTTTCGATGCTACTTATTTGCCGGAACTCAAAACCGTACTGACTCATCTGCTGAGAAATTTAGGAAGTACAATTTGATCATTTGTTGAATGTCTCAATTATTGACTATTTGTTGAATATCTTAGTTATGGACTGTTTCGAATGTCTCAGTTATTGACTATTTGCTGAGTATTTTACTAGTTATTGACCATTTGATGAATATCTTAGTTATTGACTACTTGTGTAATATTTTATTAAGCCTTTTCAGTCTGTCTTCATGAGCGCTGTTATCTCTGATGGTCTGACTTCGTGCCTGCAATGACAATAGGTCAGCGTATTCTCTTTGGGAGAACTTGGCTCCTTGCTCATCAATGGACGACAGTATTTCCTGTTTGCGAAAGAAAGTCAAAGTCAAACAAGGAGATCATTTACCGCTTAGTTCATGTAGTCAGCTACAAAATTTTCCCATGCACAAGGAAGAAATTTTGCGTTCCTACAAGATAAAAATGGAATGTTTTCACGAGAGAAGTTTTCTACGGTTATCGCTGACCGAGGTTGGTAACGTAACTGATTTTGCCGACATTCTAGTAATCATCAAAACTAACGAAACCTCCCTCGTGAAAACCATGCATTGTGTAGGTTTGCATGCTAAAAAAATGATCTCAAGACTCAATCCTGGCAAATATACCGTGTGGTATAAGCTTTCATTGGGTGTCTACCTATAGTCCCACATCACGAACAAAGTGTAGCTAGTGACTTTTCAACGAAAGTAACGTTCAGACCACAAGAAAGATGTTCAAGGAGAAAGGGCCTGGTACTTACTTCCGGGTTAGAGTACAGCAGTTCGTAGTACTGTCGGGCCCGGTCCAGGTCTCCCTCTCGAGACATTGTTATATTTGTCAAGTTTTGCTGGATAGCAAAAATGTTACGACACCTAGAAAACAACAGAGTACAGACATGGTGAGTGATACAGTTATAAAACTGAAGCAAAAATCCTACACTTAACTAGTGTACTTGTACTTACATTTTCTTGATGCCGTTTTGATTGATCCTCTTTATCTCTGAAATGTTTGAAATGAGAATGGACGATACGAGGAACCCTACTCCTTCAAACAGGTATCTGAAAAAAAGAACAACAACAACAACAACAAGAAAACGATCAATGACTGTTACATAAAGCCCTGTTCTAAAGACTGCAGCAAAGTCCAAACAAGGTAGCGACGACTAGCCTATTACAACAAACATGACAGAAATATTCAAACGAGTCATGTAACTGGTGCCAAGTCCCCGAAGAAGCGCTTAGTCATAATACCGATTAGCAGAATAACCACGGGTTTGTTCTGATTGATTAGCACAACAGCAAGATGGTCACATGTTTTTAACTAAATTCCAGAGCTCAGCAAACCCAAAACCCAAGAAAACAATTGACTAGTTTGGACAGACAACCAACATTTGTTCTTTGATACACTAGTTTTGGTAGGTTGTCCTCACAAGCCGCTGATACCCAATTATCCACCTGGGTGGAGAGAGGCACTGTGNTCTGAATTCACCGCACACTAGCCGACAAGAGAAGAATATTCGTCAAAGTAAATTGGGAAAAAATATGACGCATTAAAGGTCAGACCAACTTAACAGCGCTATTCGTCTTTAAGACGCTCCAAAACTAACGCATTATACGTCTTAGACGTTCAATCCATCTAGGTGAACACGAGATGCATATAAAGCAAGCAAATGAATCTGAGAACCCGCTAGACTAAAATTTCTAATCCAACGATTAACGGTCTCCCTCGAAATAGATCTTTTTGTTAACTCACCACTCGTGATGCATTATTCGACTGGTAGTACATTATTCGTCTTCCTAAGTAAATACAGCCAATCGCATTTTGATGTGACATTTTGGTTTCATGAGATTGCCTGTATGTTGTTCAAAAAAAGTTTAAAATGTTAGATTTGCGCGCGAGACCGAACGTAATATCATTGAAGTATTTTTTTTTTGGAAGATTCTTCGAATGTTTTTCTTTTGAAAGGTTTTCATCTGCAAGTTATGTGATACAATATAATCATGTGACAACAAATTTTAAAACGCTTAACCTTCTCAGGAGATGTTTTGGCACAATACTTTCCGAGAAAAATTGTTTACTCTGCTTGTCTGTTATAACCTTCGCCATTACTGTATAACCCTAGCATGTTCTGATAAAAATCTCCATGTTTTGTCTAGGGTTAACTTTAAGATAGCAAAATGATTTTAGAAGCGATGCAAAGATTTCTTCACATAGTAATTTTAGCCATTTCCATGTGACAAAATTTCCCGTAAGAAAAGATCCCATTGTTTTCTACTTCAGTAGAAGTGCAGCCAAACGTCCTGAAAATAATATTCAAAATTTCTCTCTGTGTTCCATTTTGAGATCTTGAAAGAAAAAGCTTGATAAATTTGGATATGATATTTCAAAATGAGAACAGCGGTGTTTGTTTCGGTTTCTGAGTCTATATTAACTTCTAATGCAGTAGGTCCACAAAGCTAAAGTAAATATTTGGAGAATATTACACTAAAGCTTTTTTATACCATAACAAACTTTTCACCAATCATATTGTTGCAGAAGGTTCAAGTCACTGCTCGCAAAAGTGAAACAACATGTTTGAGAATAATCTATGGGACAGTTGACATGATCTTGTCACGTGCATCGCTGACGTTGCGGCTGATGTCACTTTAACATTTCACAAAGTGTACCGAGAGCTTGCCAAGCATTGTTGAGTTATACAAGAGCATTGTCGAGGAGCGAAACGAGACAAGATTCAAACAAGCAGAGCAATGGCATTTCACCAGCCACTGTTAGATTTATTAACAGCACGTCAGGTACAAAAGATTTATACTGATGTTGGAAGCGGATCACGCACAGATATCAGTGTGTGGCAAGCTAAATTAGAGTCCATCCCTGAAGGCGCTTACATAGTGGGGCAGGTTGCTGTCCCTGCCTACGTAAGCACAATTCCCGTATCGTCTGTGATTCTTGTGAAGCCCTTGGTCCAGAGCGACGGCTATGGCAGTCTCATCATGAAGCCGCAAGGTTACGAGCTGATCTGGGACGACAGGGGCACGGGTGGCGAACAGGATGGCTCATTCTGGCGTGTTCTACCACCTTATGGCTACATAGCGTTGGGAGATGTTGCTTGTGATGGCTATGATGCTCCTTCCTCGCAATTCACAGACAAGTACGCGTGCATTCGACAAGATTTGGTGTGTGACGGAGTGGTGGATCCCACACCACTCTGGACGGATGTGGAGTCAGGCGCATCCAAGAATGTATCAATCTGGAACGTCAGTGGCAACGGTGTGAGTGGATTCTTCAAAGCTCAGGAAGGCTTCAGCAGGCCATCTTACCCGATGTCGGTGCTGTGTGGAGGCCCGTTCTGGGCAAAGTTGAAATAAAATATTCTCGAGCGGATTTCATCACTAATTACAAGGATACGTACAGCGACGTAAGCTTAGAATTAGCTTAGAATTGAAAATTGTGAAAGTTACCCTCACACTGACTTCTATTACTTGATAATTGTTCATGAATTTTCTTTTGGGGTTTAAATGATAAGACAAAGGATATGCCAAGTTTTAAGAAAACAGTGTCAGTTACTTGATAGGGCTTGTTTTGGGTACACTTACAAGTTTCTGAGAAATGTCAATGATACACTAAGGCGGCTTATATTAAGAAATCTTGTATTCTGCTTTAAGCTGTCCTCAAATTCATTGGATTGACTTGTTCAATGTAATGTAATTTGGAATTTGTATTAAAGATTAAAGATTAAAAATAAATGTAAAGGTGAATTAATCAACATGACACGAGCGTGAGACAAAGAAAAATTCTGAGTCCCTATCCACTGAGCTACGAGAACTCATGGAGAGCAAGGTCAGTTAAAAGAAAACAAATATATGTAGTTTGTCCAATTGGATGAACATCATTCAGGTCATGTATATCTTATTTTTTGTAGACGTCCTGTTTTCTAAGAAAATGCTTGCCCACTTGTGAACTGTAGGCCTCTTACCCTCGCTATGAAGTCAATGGATGCGATCAAGAAAGAACTGCGGCAAGCTCTGTACTCGCTGAGCGCTTGTCAGACTCGGTGCTTCCCCAATGTCTTCCTCTACTACAAACGGAAAACGTGTTAAATCTTTTAGCTCGGCAGATCTTCGAGAATGAGAGGCCCAGTCTAAACTAAGGCAATTTTTTTTCTTTTCACCAAGAGCGTCGTGCTCACTATCGCTAATGTTGACAGTGTTTTCCTCTTCCACACTAAAACGCTTGAATACACTGATACTCCCTGAGAAGCCTAAAGCAGTCGGATGCGCATGCAACTGATAATGTGAAGTCACGGTCAACGTTTTCGATAGCCTTCTGTTTGCGCTGTCCACAACTGAAAATACGATAGGGCTTCGGGTTCAAACGCTTTGGTTTCAAATGCCTGTACCGCGGCAGACGTCTCTAAATGGATGTCTTTTTGATGAAATTGGTCCGCGTAGCAAGTGTTCCCCGGTACAAAGAGCTTTACTTTATTCTGACCGCGCGTAAATTGGAGCTAGAGCAAAAATTCGACGAAGCAGGGCGGGGGTGGTCCTTGATCGCATCCCCCACCACCCCTGCTTCGTCGAGTTTTTGCCTTCGCTCCAATTTACGGGCGGCCAGAATGCGGATAAGCTCTTCGCTTGCTACGCAAGCTACGATGAAAGTGCTCAGTTTTGGACAGTTTGGACAGTATAAAGAGTATGTTTTCAAACGAAAATCCATTAGTGTCGACAGAGCCAAAGTCCCGTATATATCCTAAAGAATGATTAGAAATCTTTGGAATGCAGAGGTCCACACGACGCAAGAAACAAAATACCAGATATAATTATCGATTAAAGCTTGTTTTGTAATTATGTCATTATGGCATGTCGAAGTATGCTCAGACTTGTGATCTGACATTTGTATAAGGTGTTCAAGATAGCTTTAGCTATCGTTTTGTTTGTAATCCCTCCATCTCAAATTTTCCCTGTCCAAACGGGAAATGTTTGGCGATCAAACACGATCAAACATTTTCCCGTTTGGACACCTTGTTTGACCGTGTTGGATCGTGTTCGATAAAATTTGAACGACGTCGAACATTTGATCAAACATTGCAAAGCATTTCAGTGTCCATTCAAACATGTTTGTTATCGTTTGACCACAAAGAACAACATCAACATGTCTGGTCACCAAACAATGTTTGATCGTGTTCGGTTGCAAAGCATTTTCCGTTTGGACCGGGCTTTACTTTTGACCATCCTCGCTCCCAGTAAGAAACCGGAGGTAGGCGCCTGTACTAATGGGCCGCTTGCCTCCTGCAATCCATTGGATTGGAACCTTTGAAAAACAAACAAACAAACAAACAAACAGGCAAGGTACACTAGCTTTATTTCAGTTGAACATTGAAATGTTTTTGAAAGCTACACAACTTGTAGGCAGAGATTTATAGATACGTAAATCGTTAACGGCAAACTTAACATTATAAGGTCCTGCTGGTTTCC